ATCTGATTCAGGGGCTCATTGTCAAGTGAGTCATGAAACAAACACAAGTAAGGGCTGTTTGTGGCAAGTTGAAATAACTATATAAAATGTTTCATATCAGTGTAAGAAATTAAGTATTTATGCCTTCAGAAGACCTGTTAATGACTTATTCAAGAGAGATAATGGATGGAAATTCTGCACTCATCTGTCCTATAATGTGAGTGAAAGATCATTCAGTGGGGTTAAGAGTTCAGTGCTCTCACAGAAACTTCCATTACAATCACTGAATGGTCTACACTGCAAAACAAATCTCTTACTCCCATGTTATGAGAGAATCTGTGAGTCTGTGAACATGTAAACTGAACAAAAGTCTGGTGTTTGCAGCGCTGGTTAAAAATAGACTAAACACCTCTTTTGGTCCATCGCATTCAGAAGTTCAACAGAAATGTGTGTGATTGGTCAGAGCTAGATTTCACTGATACACACAGTTGAACAGTTCATCACTGTAAATAAATTTACTTTAGCTTCTTATACTGTACCCCCAAACCAAATCTACAGATCAGGTCTTTATAGCAGATCTGCATCTTTCTTTATTAACAGCAATAACAGTCTGAACCAACAATCAGAAAATACTCTCATGAACAGATAACTTTGCCGTTCATTTGATCTATCAGTGTGCCACAGCAGTCAAGCTACCGCAGGCCAACCGGTCTGACTTTCTCTCTAGTTTCCCTTATTCTCTATTTAATAATGTTTTCATTCTTATTTTTTGTATTAAATCAAATGATTTGGCCAGTTTGGTGAACTTCTATGCTTTGAACCACTGATTCAAAACAAAAGATTAGTAAAAGTCTTTATAAAGCAGTGTTTTTCATACAGTCAAGTCAAGTCACCTTTATTTGTATAGGGCTTTGTACAATACTGGTTGTGTCAAACAGGAAAATAGTTTGTCAATAATGCAATAAGACAATAACAGAGTAATTTTTTCCAGTTTAAGTCAGTTCATTGATGATTCAGTGATGTCATCATCCAGTTCAGCTGTCTTCCAATAGTGTCTGTGCAATCAGTCAAGTGTCCCCAGCTAAGCAAGCCAAAGGCAACAGTGGCAAGGAACCAAAACTCCATCGGTGACAGAAATGGAGAAAAAACCTTGGGAGAAACCAGGCTCAGTCGGGGGCCAGTTCTCCTCTGGCCAGACGAAACCAGCATGGCATGGTTTAATTCCAGGCTGCAACACAGGTCAGATTGAGAAGAGGACTCGTCTGGTTCCCGTGGTCTTGTGCCGATGGTCGTCGAGCTGATGAGGTCTTCGCAGGGGATCTGTCTCTAGTTGACATGGTCTCCGCTGACAGCATAGATGTAATTCACTCACACGTGCTCAACTGCACTCTTGTCCTTCAGTAACAGAATAACAAACATCGAATCTCAATTATTAGTTTTAAATTTATATTGTTTCTTAACAAGGTGTGTACGAATGCGGTTCCACACTTGAGCATTTAAAGGACAAAAACGGAAATTAAAAAAATATCTTGAAATTCAAACACTTAAAAAAAACTTTTATCCAACAATGACAAAATGAGTAAAAAAAAAAAAAATGTAAAAATTAATTTGAGAACAATGTTGAAGAATCATATACTGGGGTAGTTGGATTCAATAATTTTTTGAATGAATATCATAATCACAGTTCCAGCAGACACAGTGAATTATCTTGATGAATTAAAATCAGAAAGAAAAAAGTAAATGACATTAGTAGTGACATTCAATTGCAGAGTATGTTCAATTCAGGATGCTCTGAATTCTTCATATTTCGGCATTTTATTCAACATAACTTTTTAAAAATGTATTTATAACCTATATTTGTATCTTTTTGATGTAATAAATTGTCAGACAAAATTTTTGGTTGCACACAGGACGAGCAGTGCAGCGCCGCGCCTAGAACAACTCACAGGTATCATACAAGACAAAACCATTAATCTAACCACCAAACAGGCAAAAGTTCACTTCATGAACAAAGTGGTGTCGATGAGTTTGAAGTGTTTGACAAAACAGAGCAAACGGAAAGAGAAAGCGTGATCCCTTGTATAGCTCTTTGTATGAAGCAGCCAGACTTTATTCAAGCCACAGATTAGCGTTTTGCTGAAAAATGCACAATACAAGATTTTCCAGCCTAGGAGGAAGTCATTATGTACATTAACAATCATTTGGGACAAATATAATGTGATTTACTGAAAAAGTAGTGAGTGGTGCTCTGTGGCACGTTCAGACGCTGAGTGGCGCACCGGTGTGCATTCACACATAGAAAACAGTGCGAATTTTAAAGATGTGATGCGGCGCTGCGCTTCTCATCCATTGTGCGACCCCCTTCAGTTAAGAGGTTCCACAGATCTATCTTCATTTCCTCTTGACGTTGCTTGTAACCAGAACAGTCTTCCTTTGTTTGCAGGTGATACATATTTAGTTCCAGGTTTTTGGAAAAACAAAGTGAAAGAAAAACAAAAAACTACACAACAACTTTTTAGTTCCAAAGATAGACAAATTTATTGGATATTTGTCCCTATTTTCCTCATAGGAATGAATAAAAATGAAAACTTGGTTTTCCACTAGTAGTGGGCATGTCATACTCTGACTATATCAATAAACCCCACCCTCAAATCTGATTGACAGTTGATTGTATCGTTTTAGTGAAGTGACGTCACTGGTGACGTTCGAAGCTTTGTTTGATTGCAGTGCTTCGAGAAAGGGTTCACTTTTGGGGAATCCACTCAGCCTGAAACCAGTGGAAGAGAAATATTGTTTTTAAACTTCCACTGCCTTCTGTTCAGTCCATATTAATCACTTTCACCCTCTTTTATTCAGTCTAAATAACTCCATAATTTCCCTCTGTTCAACAAAAGCACCGCCCAAGTTACAAAATTATGAAGCTTAATCTCACCACCACTAGAAGAACAGCACAATATAATCCAAACCAGCCAAAATGTGCCAATTTACTGCAAACCAGATGAAAAACCATAGGCACTGCTGCAATGTCTTTTTTAACGCTTTTCACGATGCAAATCTTTGCAAAGCAGCTTTACAGAAAATTATAGTTTCTACATTATATTTAGTAATATCTTATCAGTGGTGACTATCTCAAGTTGATGTCCATATTGCAGAAATGTACGATAAAATCAAGCAGTTAGTTAATGACATGTAATCAAACAGATGGTGAACATTTTTAACAGCAATGACTATATGTTGTGATCAAACTTATAGCAAAATTTGGTAGTTTTGTATGTTGTCTGAGTGGTTGCCATCATCTCTTCTCAGGTGTTCGGTCATCTCAGGTCTTTGTAAGAGCTGGATCCAGACTGAAGCTTGTGTGATTCCTAGTTACCACATGATGTCAATCCCGTGGCAGAAACAGAGAAGGAAATAGAGAAGAAATCAGCATAGCTGCTGTTCCAACTAAGCAAAAAAGTATGTGTTCAACCTAAGCAAAAGAATGTTAATGTGCATTTGATCAGATGTAACTGAAGTACAGGGTTATGAGATACATTATGTGAATGCAATGTCTGGAATATCTGTGCAGTAGTGCATTATGGGAGGTGGGAGAAACCAAGTGCAGAGGATGAAGGGGATTGTTTGTTATTTTAAAATTGTAATGCCTCACCAATGATGGAATACATGACTGATAAATAATTTGTTGATTATAGTTATATAGTTTAGTTTTTGATTAATTTAATTTCTGTTATCTTGCGTGACTGTCAATGGTTTTGCCCATCACTATAAATGCCCACTAGCTATGGGCCACATTTGTCAGTATGAGATGGCATTTGTGGTGTAAGGATGTTGAAAGAGATTGCCCTGCTTGAAAGTATACCTGCTTTAATCATTGAAAGGTAAGCTATTTTTTTTCCCACATTTATTTGTTATGTGATTATATACCTTGTGTATTTTTTTTATTTTTTAAATAAATGAGAATCTATATCCAGTAATAAGTGTTATGAGCCAATCAGGAGTTGTTTTTTTGGTTTGTTAACAGTCTAGGTGATCTCTTTCTCCCTCCCTTTTAAGCATAGTAATATGTAGGGCTGCACGATTAATCAAATGTGATTGTCATGCACATTTTGGTAGTAATGCCGGTTCTGTAATCAGCAGGAAATCATCATGTGCTTTCAGATGGAGCAGAATTTACTACACGTAGCTGTAGCTCACTGACAAGTTACACAAAACAAAACAAAAATCGCAGACTACTTTATTGCTCGATTCTAAAATCGTTCGAGATAATGACAGCTGTTTGCATAGCTTCTCGGTGAACTACGGCTCTGTGACGTAAATGCTGCTCAATCTGAAAGCATGTGAAAATACCACATTTAATAACATATTTTTACTCCAAACTCACTTCATAATGTCAGTCGAGTGTTTTAAATAAATTCTCCTCTGAGATGATGTGGCTTCTTACACCGAATAAAGCATGCAACATATTTCATTGTATTTAAGCAGTGATAAAAGCATTGCATTATAAAACTACTTTATTTTAATAAATTATAAGAACTCTGATAAACCATACATTGCCGTAATCGTGTTTATTAGTCCCGTTGAATCGATGAAAGCAGTTGAATCTTCTGTTTATTCAGCTGCAGCTATAGGCATTTTCTGGGTTTCTTCTGCGAGGGCGTATTTGGAGTTTCAGCGCGAGAGTGCCCTCTGGCCTTTGGATGGAGATTTACTGTTGATCACAGAACTGTGCTTCACTGAAAAATATGCATGACAATCGCAGCTTCTGTCGAATCACGATCTCGATTCCATTTCGTTTTATAGTGCAGCTCTAGTAGCATGGATGGTCAGTGGCACCGTGTATGCTTTTTCATATTTAAAGTTAAAGTGTCTCTAAAGCGACTTTTAACCCCACTTTTGTCTGTTTCTTTAATTTCCTGTTTATTGAAAAGTTTAAATGCTTCTGTAGACAAATTCTTTCTGATATCTATGCTGTCTTGGTACTCAACCACAGCCTTTCACACTGTTTTGGACTATATAGGGCAGCCAGCAACAAAGCTGTCATCATTCCTGCTTTTCATCTCTGCCAGTCAGTGACAATGCAACATTCAGGCTTTGACAAATATTGGTTTCCAGGTAACACTGAAACCATATTAGCCCTCTATGGACCTTTCTCCCATACTTCTCCCTCAGCTGGGCAGGTTAAGTATCATGCCATGACTTCCTAATCATGCCAAATTTTGTTTCTTGATGCGGTCAACTCTTTTGACTTGGTGGCAGTTGGGAAGTTATATGCAATTTAACCACCTACTGAGATGATATTGTAAGTATTGGTCGCTTCTCCATTTAAATGTTCTTCCTTTACTATATCGGTCCCTGCACCAACAGGTCAACTAACGCAACATCCTCCAGCCTCTTGTTCTCAAATGGTATTCTTGAGCCTTGGACCAAGGTAAAGTCTCTTTTGTCAACCAGTCTTGCTTTGGAAGAAGTGTTTTCTTTCTGAAGATCTCCTTGAACCGGTTGAAGTTCTTCAATGAGGGTGAATGTTGTTCTCAATAAATCTTTAATCTTGTGACTTCAATAAATCCCTGTTTACCAAATGCATAAGTTGGCTGTTAATGCTGACTTCCCCTTTCCACTCAAAGAGTCGCATTTATTTTTGACAGACATGGAGATGAGACGACTCCTTCTGTGCGCCGGCAGACTTCCAGACGCCTCAACCACCTGAATTATCTAAAGCACAGCCATTGTGGACTGAGTATGTGTGCTACAAATGCAGGCATGCGAGACTGGGAAGTCCATGTAGTTTTAGTGATTGAGGTCTTGAATTTCAGTTGTTGTACGGGCAAACATCAACTCTTCAATTTGTTCTTGTTGCTATTTTCCCATTTTATTTTTTTTGTGTTTTTTACTGTAAATTTAAAAATGCCGCAACTGAGATTAGCATGCTGCTATCCTATCTTGACAGCCCATTGACGACTTGAGTCCCTTTCCCTGGGTAAGTCTCTTTTCACAACTCCAAGTCCTAGTCTTGTTCGACCTCAGATGGTTCCGTACTATAGCAACTCAAGCCAGACAACCAGCTGGACATCAATGCATGTAACAATCACCAATGGCTAAATGCTACAACTCGCAGTTGTACCTCATTTATACAGAAGCCTCCATATTCTTGTTTCTTTAAATTAGTTAATGAGTTAATTGTTACAATCAGGTACTGACAAGGCCATAGGAACATTCTCCAGGAGTTGCCTAGGTGAGGAGTCCCTCTTGAACTGAAAACTAACCCGTGTCCCTTGCAATGTTTCCAACACCTGGCATATTGGTCTCGTTGCTTGGTCAACAGCTTTAAGGTGAATGCTATCACTGTTCAATGCAGTATCCGTTAAAACCATGCTAGGTGTGTTACTTGAAAATGAAGGCAGAATGGTTCATTTGGATCATCGCTACCAACTGCAACCATCAAGTTGCATTTCTGAGAAGTTGCTCTGGTGTAGTGATCGACTATTATTTGGTTTTGTAATCGAATTGTATTTATTCGTGATTTTTATTGTATTATGCATCACTGTTTTCCTTAATGTTTACTTTTCCCAAGAAGCCCTGATGGAAATAAAAGCACTTTAATCCAAGCCCAGCTGTGTCTGGTTGACATCTGAAGGTAATAAATTACAGCTTGCATTCAACATGAGCTTTGTTTGACTTTCAAAATGTCAGTTTTAGATTGTAACCATGGGCTTTGTATTTGGAGTTTAAAGAACCAAGAGCTTTCACCTGTTTAGTGTACATAACTGTTTTTTTTTTTTTAAATGTACTGTTCTGTGCACATCACCCATATCTTAGAATTTCAGCTTCAGGGCTATGACTGTGCAAGACAGCAGTAAAAACAATGGACCGTTTTACTCATTGAAAGATTTGTTCGTGATAATTATTTTGTATAGCATGCGTGTACGACTCGAACACAATTATAGTTAGTCGTGCATTAATTTAAGTGATGACCGCTACTGTGGGAGTACGTGGCTTGATGAAGTGCAGGAGACGCAGATAACTTGATCTTGACCCTTAAACTTTAATGCCGTCACATAAATCTGCTTCAAAGATAAAATTACATGAATTGCTTATTACAATATTGAAATGTAAAGCCTGTACAAAGAAATCGTGAATATAAAAATTGGGAATCATGTAAAAAAAAAAAGAAAACCATGCACCATTTATCTATAACATTTTTGTAGTTTGTTCACGTGGCTGTTTACTTACAAAGGTTACATTGCTGTCCTGCCACCAGCCAGTTGCTGCATTGCTGATCGTGGTTGAGTATCGATACATCTGCCCTTTTATGGGGAACACGAGAACGCGCAGTAATCTTAGATGACTTAAACCATATATTTTAATCGATTCCGCAAATTCGTTTGAAGAACCAAATTAGCCAGCGATCACTTACCACGATTAGAAGATCTGGCATCTTTCAAATTATGGCTGCAATATTAATTAAACACGATTGTTATGCGCATCTTGTCAGTAAAGCCGCTTCTGTAATTGGTAGAAAATCTCCATCACGCTTTTAGATGGAGCAGCATTTACTACACTGAGCCATAGTTCACTAACAAGCTATGCAAAATCTGTCACAGTGTCTAGTTGTGGTACCCTGGACTGGCCACTTGAGAGGTGGTCTTCCAGTTTCAGTGTTTCATGTTTTGAACTCCATTTCCCATAGTCCTTTGCTTTGTCGTTTTGTTCTGATCGTTATCTGTCTTGGCTGCAGTATTCTGTCACGGAATGCCAGGAGAAAACAAGATTAGATCCATGTGCAGTACGTTTATTAAAATAACAAATAATCCAAAACCAAACAAACTAAGCAAAAGGTAAATTCAAAACCCAGGGAACAGAAAACGCGATGTAACTCAAACAATACTGCAGCCAAGACCGACAGTGAGAGCATGCTATAAGTAGTGATGAAATGATGAGTAAATTGCCAAAAGGTGATAACGATCAGAACAAAATGACAAGGCAAAGGACTATGGGAAACTGAGTTCAAAACATGAAACACCAAAACTGGAAGACTGCCCTCAAGTGGCCAGTCCAGGGTACCACAACCAAACTGACAATCACGTTCATAATCGCAGATTTAATCTCAGGATTATGAAATCGTTCTGCGATTTTAATGAAAGCTGTTTGCATAGTGAAATATAGCTCTGTGTAGTAAATGCTGCTCCATTTGAAAGCACATGAGAACCACATTTAATGTTTTTACTCCAAACACTCGACTGACGTTAAGTATATTTGAAGTAAATCCTTCTGTAAGATGTGGTTTCTTGCACCGAGTAAGGCACGCAACATTTCATAGTATTCGAAGCTGTCATAAAGGCTGTCAAATTGCATTATAATATTAATGCTAAGTATATAAGACCAACTCAGATAAACCATATATTGTCGTAATCGTGTGTTTATTAGTATATTTTGTTCCCTTACAGTATAAAAACTAATCCAGAAGTGTCAGCCTGTCGTGTGAAGCTCTCCTTGTGTTGGTGAACAACCTTCTGTGAAGACCTGAGGGCCTACCAGCAAGTATTCTTGGAACAAGGGTGCAGAAAAGGCACAATATTGTAGTTCCTTGACCACACTAATATTAAAGCTTTCTAGGCACATTGCTGTTTGTCCCCTGGATTATTCCTGCTGAACATGCAGGCAGTCATGTAGATCTTGTAGCCCCCCCCTTCCAATTCACAGCTGTCTGGCAATTCCAGAGTCCTAATGCTGGATTTATTCCAGATGTTGCACATCCTGGGTTTGACTGACCAGGACTTGACAAGAGGACACAAACGGCAGGTTTCATTTTAATTTCTTCAGTAATCACAAATCTATTGTGTACATTTACTTTGTCTCCTAGGTGAGGTAGAGTTGGATGTGCTGTTGTCCTGTTCTTTAATTTACATCCTTCCCCACCCAACTGTCCTCATCACGGACAACTTCAGTTCAATAACCAGCGCTCTCTTCCACCCTCAATACCACGACTGAGGTGAGACTCTTGAGCAAGGCAACGAACCCCCAAAGTGTGTGTGTGTGTGTGCGCGCACGTGGATGGGTTAAATGCAGCGCACACATTCCGAGTATGGGTCACCATACTTGGCCTCACTTCTATTCCGATATCATAGTACCTCACTTAGCTATAGATTAAGATTGTGTGTACAGATGGTTTGCGGTGTTTAATTTGTTGTTACAATAACATTCTATTCCATTAACTATATTCTTATGAACATCCCCCTAGGAGCTCTGTTGAAATCTTTTGGAGGTGGGGCACAACCAATGCTGCCAGCCCCAATTGCTAGTGCTGATGATACAGCAGGTGAGTTTAACAATCAATAGTTATTTGGGTAACCCATACCTTTCGTGAGGCGTTTAATTTATTTTATTTTTTTATTTAACAGTTTCATTACCTTCTAATATGACATAACATTAACTTTTATAATAATTTAATTATTTCATTAGGTCCATCCTCTGCAGGTGAGGAGCACTTACCAACACCTGCATCCACTGATCCTGCTGTTCCTTCCATGTCTGTTTCAACCTCAACAGATGTGGCAGGTAATTTAATAGCACAGCAGCCATTTGTATTTGTTTAATTTGTATTGTATTTGTTGTTTATATAGAATATCATGCTATTTAAAATTTCTAATTGTTAATGGAATTTTTTTTTTTTTAATAGGTCATTCTATTTGTGGTCATTGGTGTCAATGTCACATGCACTCCCTTAGCAACTTTTAGCCTACACTATGGATCAACAGCTCCTCCAGTTGACCAGCGGCGTGGTCATCTATCCTGTCCGACTCATAAAGGACTGATCTGGTAAGCAGAGGGCCACTTCCTATACAGGAAAACTTCACATTCCCTAAAAAACCTGATGGCTGAAGCTTCCACTAACTCAATCCCTGCAAGTCTTACTGGTATTGAGTAATAGAACTTTGAACACACTGAAAAAGGAGAAGTTTCAGGGTTTTTTTTTTTTTTTTTTTTTTTTTTTGAGTGGTCACGGTTAACCCTCAAAAACAGTCTACTGCAGTGGAACGTTAACGGGTGAACTTGTTTACAGTAAATGCATTGTCTGCTGGTTTATTTAGCTACTTTTCAGTGCACCACATTAAGCATGCCACTTAATACTGTAAGACTTTGAATGTTAAAGTGCAAATTAACACCTGACCACTCTTGTCGGTTTGGTATTGTTACAATTAAACCGTAGAAGGGTAAAATGCAAGACAGACATTGGTATGATGTAAGCAACATGACTACAACAAATGAAATTGATAATGGGTGTTAGTTTTATAGTGTGTGAATAAGCATTGACAGTCAATCGTATTGGTGGCACTGAGGGGTCTCCAAATAAAATTTCTGCTTGGGGGGGAGGCCCCCCCCCAAAAAAGGTTTGGGGTTGGCCTGACCCTGACTGGAACTATAATGAGAATGCATTCCTTGTTTCTGGCCCCAGTGTACCCACACGTTTCAGTAGTGGTGGTGGTGTTCTCACAACTGCTGGATGTGGAACTGTTCTTCTTTTGAATGTGCAGTCTTTCCCTTCTTGCAGTCTTCGTCCTTCAAATGTTTCACGCAAGGGCACTTAAAGATAAAATTGAGTTTATAAACAAACACTGAAGTCCTTTCAAATTTAAGGATTAAGCACACAAGCAAAGCATGGTTCTTTCAACCAAGGTTAAGAAACAGTCGCCCAGTTCAGTGTCCCCATATTTTACAGCATTTTCATCTTACATGTTCAATAACTTGAATCAAAGTCCTGTTGCCTATCATTCTCCTTTTCCTCATCCAGCTAAAGCTCTTGAATGGTTTTGGTTTACAGTTTGAGTGATATGAGAACAAGAGTTTATTTGTCTGCTTTACGCATTTCTGAATGCATTTTTCATTTGACTGGCAATTTTTGGCTTTCTCCAATTGAGTCTGTTCAGACTCTACTCTTGTTTTTTT